CTACGTGTAAGACCTAGAGTTAATATAGAAAGAATAACTATAAGAAGCTTAGCCTTTAGGTCTTTGCTTAGAATTAAAGAAAAAGAAGAGATATATATATACTCTCTATAATATATTATAATTATGTATAAACAAGATACTAGATCTACTAGAATTATAATATAGTACTTAGCCTTATTATATACTTATTTAACTAGCTACCTATCTCTATAGAGGTAGTTATATTCTAAAATATATTATAAATATACGCTAAACGTAATATAGTATAAAGTTACTTACTACACCTTAGAGTTCTAGTAGATATTAACACTATAGTATTATATACTCTCTTATTATCTTCCTCTACTAGAGAGCTATTATTAAATAAGTTCTTAAGGTATTTTAAGTCTATTTTAGAACTAATAGCGTAAAAGACGTACTTTTTAGTATATCTAAGTTTATATATCTAAGCTATACACTTAATAAACTAAGGTTTATTACTAGTAAGACTCTATAACTTAGTTACTATGTATTATAAATGTATTTCTATTTATAGTATCTTTTACTTTATATTACTATTAGAAGTATATAGATTTATAGTTTAGTTACTAGTTACTATAAGATTTACTACCTATAAAGTGTCTAAGAGTTATAGTGTAGAGCCTTTAAAGTTAGTAGAAGTGTATTAAGAATACGTTACGTACACATTAAATATACTTAGCTACCTACTTCTAGTAAGTTATTTTGTTATTAGGTATAATAGTGTCTCTTAGACTTCTAAGTATATTCTCTACCTTAAGTATAATTTTAGAATAATAATAAGCCTTAAGTAGCTTAGCGAGTATAGTATAATACTTAATATCTATATAAATATACTTCTAACGTTATGTAATTATGTTTAAGAAGAGTAAAGAGAATATATACTCTTTATATTTCTAGGCCTTTCTATATTAAAACTAGATTATATTAGAAATACGTTAATATTACGTTCTTAGACCTCTTACATTAATAGCCTTGCCTAAGGTATCTTTCTATATTATATAAGTAGGTAGTAGGTAGACAATATATACGTAGCTACTTAGTGTACTTTTAAGCTATATTAGTATACTTATAATATACTTATATAATATTACTATTAAGTCTAAGTTACTATTACTACTTATAGAGAGTAAAATAGAGTTCTTTTAAATTATATTAAGAATGTAATATAAAGATGTTATAAGTAGTATATAGGTTAAATTAGCTTAAAGTTACTCTTTTTACTTAGTATATTATTAGCTATCTTAAGGTCTAAGAAGGCTATATTTAAGTTTTTAAACGCGTTCTTAAAGAGTAGTAAAAGTACTTTAAGCTACTTAGCGTTAAATACTAGTAGAAAGAGTACTAGCGCCTCTATAGTTTCTATAAAGATAAGATATAAATATATTATTAATACGTTTTAGAGCTAGATTTTAGTTTTTTTTTATGTATAGTACGCTAAGCTATATAGAGAATAATTCTATTTAATCTAACTATTACCTACACCTTATTCTGCCCCTAACAACTTTAACTAGCTAGCGGCTATAGTTACCTACAAAAATCTAATGGTTAGATAAGGTGTAGCCACTATCAAACGTTAGGTCCTAGTATTACACTATATGACGCTTGATACTGGGGAAAACATGCTAGATACAGAAAAGTAGGTACTGCGACGCTGCCCAAGTCGACTATCAGCCACCATCGACGAGACATCAGCCGATGGTTGAGCCACCGGCAGTATACAGTCGGTCGCCACCACAGTCAGGGTGATCCTTTGGTCTCAGCCGTATATGTGCGACCCAACGACGTGGTAAATAGGCCAAGGTGAGCCCATGGTTGATACTCCCACTGTATGTTCAAAACGAGTCAGTAAGCCACCATTCGCGTCGCGAGTCTGTGTCGGCGCAAAACTAAGGTGACTAGCAGACGGCTGGTAGTGCCATGACGTGAAGCTCGTCTCTTATTCCCTGATCAAGCCTCCAGACAGCATCAAAGAGCTCGCCCATGTGTATAGGACTTTGGGAGGAGCTAAGGAGTAGGTAGGTAGTAGCCTGATTCGCTTCTTCTTCCCCAAAAGAAGTAGATTGTGCGGTGAAACCACATAACCACCTACGTATCTCGTTACCTGTACGTGGGGTTTCCTAGCTTTACGCAGGAGCCTGCTTCTGGTACGATGTGCTTCTGTCATGCGGACAAGAACCTTGGAAGTATCCAGCTGGTTAGACTACTGCACTGATTGCATAGCAAGACTAGAATGTAACACGCGAGTTCGTGACAAGCGAAAGGCTAGAGTGACCGAGACCAGCCATCACAGCGAGAGCATGCCTCACCGCCTGAGTCTCAATCTTTGATGACGGTGAGGTAGGTTTTCGAACGACCAGGGCCTGCACAGTGGCGGCCCGGTACAAGCGAGACGTCTTGCTGCTTCCAATCACAACACCCCCAGGCTCCTTGCTGCTGTACAGTGAAGGACCATTCCGTGATGATACACTATATCTTTCATGCGTACCGTGTTACACCACAGTCTAGACACGATTATAGCATGCCTTGCAGATACCAATAGATGTTTCGTTGGTCATGGAAACCTTGACTTCAGGTACTGGCAGGCATATCTCACGGCCAAGTGACTCTACCTCATCACATACACCTCCGCCTGGTTATTGGGCAGAAGCTGAGTTATTGCCAGGCAGCAGGAGTCAGTGACGATGCTCACCGGAATAACTTGAGGCATTTGCGAAACTTCTGCTGGCGGCTGGGATCCTAAGGCCACAATATTGTCTGGGAGACGCCTGCCCACTCAAACTTAACTTCGACGAAGGGCGCATGACTCCAGGCATCGGTATTGTTAGAAGCGCTGGTCTTGCTTCGCCTGCATTCATCGTTGCTATCTTGAAGTGGGTGGGGAATCTAAGCCCCAGCACTGATGCTCGATGGGTTTCGCTCATCGCATGAACAATCAGAAAGACTTCGATATGGAACTGTCATGATGGGCACTGACGTCTTTCGTTCTAAATATAATACATGTTCATCTACATATCGTACCTGCGCAAGCACCGAGATGCAGTGTTGAGGCGGTGCAGCACTGCCCTGCCTGTGCCGCATGCACGTCAACTACTACGCCGTATCATACTGCCGTGTTAATCGTCATTCGTGAATTGTTCGTCCTCTCTTCTTCACCTATCGCTTCTGCCAGTCGCCAATCTTTTGTTGGGTGTTCAGATGAAGTCTCCATCACCAAAGCCACCGAATGGATTCGGCGGTCGTCCACCTGCTCCGCCGAAGCCACCAGGACCTCCAAAACCGCCCCCGCCTGGGAACATGGGACCTCTCCCTCTGTCCTCTCTAAGTGGATCGCCTGGTCCTAGAGGGTCGTAACGCGCCCCCGGAGGTGCTCTGGGATCATATCCACCCTGTCCGCCTTGACCGCGAAACAGCGGATCATCGAAGGTGGGATGCATCCCGCCGCCGCCAAAACCGCCAGGTCGTGGCAGCCCTCCTGCTAGGTGTGGCCGAAGGGGATCATTAGGTCCGAGACCCTGTGGATATAAATCGTCATGCCCAATGTTGATGGGGTTGTTACCGGGCATGCGACCGGGCTGTCTGTTCATGCCCAACTCGTCGTCAAAGCCGGGTATGGGTTCTGGTAGATGCCGCCCCGAGCCTGGCTGTGCGGCGAGAGGATCGTTGAACGGGTATGGTCGTGCGGGCTCCGGTTCGGTGGGGGGCTGCCGTGAGTTGGCAGGTCCCCCCCGTTGTGGTTCTTGCCGATCCGCTGTAGGGGTGCGCTCGCGGTCGGTGTTACCCTCCTCGTAGCCTGGCTTGTTAAGCCCGGGCGCCAGCTTCTGTATGACAGATATCTTGAGGAGCGAGCCGAGGTCGTTCAGCCTGCCTGGCGAGATGAACAGTTCTTGCACCTTCTCCGACACGTGCTCCGTTGATGTATCTTCAGATACGCTGAACGGTAATTGTGATTCGGATATGTAGTCCTTGGTGGTGACTTCGAAATGTGTGGTCTTGTCATCGCCGAGCGCGAGAGCGTATACGACAGCTTTGCCTCCCAACCTATTGACCTTGACGAGGTACTCCATGGCTGATTGCGCGTGGGCGTATCTGAAAGCGTATGAGGATGACGCATTCCATTCTTTCGGTAACGACTCTGGGTTTTCGGCGTCTGCGTGCGCTTCTATGAGTTCCCGAGTTATGACGTGTAAAGGTGAGAGTGAATGAGATGGGTGCTTACCTATGCGCTCGTCTTCGCCCAGCCCGATCAGGCGGAAGCCAACAGCAAGCATGCCGGCGTGTACTGCTAGTGCGACGGCTTCGGTGCCATTCTTGAGCTGTGAAGATTCGCCTTTTGGTAGCGACGTTGCCATGAACAGCGCGAGCGAACCCGAGCTTAGCGGGTTGCCCGTAGTATTCTGGTGTACCATCTTTACGGATCCCGGGTGCGTTGTGGTTGTCGAAATTTCGCGGAGTGGATGAGGGAATTCGTGAAGGTAGTTGCAGCTCGTGTGTGTTTAATAGAAGCGTAGTGGTGTGAAGAAGTTCCAAGGTTGATGGAAATAAATGTCCTATGGTTGGAGTTCAGGCAGCGGCCAATGACGCGTGGGCGGGGCACGGAAGCGCGCTAGAGCAATGCACGATATCTGTTCATGCACGATGCAAGCGCCAGATTCGACAAGCTCTCTACTGTACTACTTGCATGACATCACAATCCAAATCAAAGTTTCCGCAAAAAGCAAGTAATATTGCCGAGCCATGAGGATGCTCAGTATGCACCTATGCGTAAATCAAGACTATCGTGCTACTCCAAAGGCATGTGCGCCAACCCGTGGGGAATAATGTGGGACCAAATACGCCAGAGGCAATGCAAGAAGAAGAATAAGAGGCTTAAAGGAAAGTGCATCGGGCCATGTGGTGGGATATCTATTCCGGCAAATCCTGTGAGTTGCTTGCTGCGAGTTCGTTCGGTTCAAGAAGGCTGCAGTCAACGTTAGCAGATATCAAAAGGCAGTAAGCGAACGGACAACACACGAGTACTGTTTGTACAGTGTACCCTCGCCTCCCTTTTCCAAGTCCACGTTGAAGACATAGTAGTTGCCTTCACTGGTAACTACCATAATCTGAGGACCGTTGTTGTTCAGCGCTACCACATTCCTAACAGGCCCCGTGGAAGAGCTTGTCGGAGAGCGTGGTATCTTGACCCACGCAAAGTCGCGCGAGGGCTCCCAGATCTCGGCTACAGCGCTGGGTAAATATCCGCCGACGGTAGCGGCGAAGGACTTTCCAACGGTCTGCGATGTGCGTCGAATCAAGCTCCCAAACGTGGGATTGATGGGTTTCCGCTCCGGAGTCGATACATCTGCTGTGCTAGCACCGAATTCATCCGCAGTCTCTTGGCTCGTCCGACTTCCGCTACGTGCATGGGACGCGCCCATGGGCTTGCTAGGCCCAGAAGATACGCTATTACTCCTGCTGTTGGGCGCTCCTAAGCGGAAGATGTGAACAGTCTCGGTCGCCGACGATACACTGAGCAAGGTCGATGTCGAGTTGAAAGACATGCTGTATATCCTGGCCGGAATGGAGCCTCTCCGGAACTGGTACAGCTTTTGCGCATCGGGTATGGAGAAGACGCGGATGATGGTGCCCTTTTCCGATGCCGTCGCCAATAGGGTACCATCGCTGTTCAGCGCAATGCAAGAGAGTGGAGAGTTGTGCGCCTCAATCACGTTGACTGCCTCCATCTTTGTAGCATCGTATATAAGGACTTCTCCGCTTGTGGGTGCGATGTGATCGGCTTTGGGCGGCGCGTGCGAAGGCGGCTGGAAGGTCGCCGGTGCGGCTTTGGTGGGCAGCGGATACACGAGGTAGTTGTTCTCGGACGATGCTGAGAGAGCGCATATCGCTATGCCAGTCAGTATCTGTGAAGTGTTGCTTCTTGCGACGTACCATTAGGATTAGGCGACGTCTTCTCCGTCTTGAGCATCTGCAGGTTGCTTATATCGTAGATGTAGAGTTCCGACTCGAGCACGACGACGATGCGTTTCCTGTTCATGCGCATGGCGAGGATGGCTGTCCGGAATGTCATCTCACATATGGTCGAGTGCCTCTTGTGCTTGTCAGTGCGTGCCTGGCCAGCGTCGCCTGTCCGACGAACCTTGGTGTTTTGTATGCGCAGCACGCGTGGCGACAGCGTAAGCGCTACCAGCGACGTGGAGAAGAGCATCTCGAGGCTGGAGACATCTCCCTCGCGCGACTCGGACTGCTTGTTGAACGGGTCGGTGGTGTATATGCGGTAGCCATTGGGCGTGCCTATGCGATTAGGTCAGTACATGTTCTGCAGCTGGCAGGCGTAGCGCATACCGACGCCTAGATGGCTGTGGTCCTGGTTGAAGGTTACGAAATTCATCGCGGGAGTCTGGCGTTGCCTGCGTGGTTCCGGGTGCTGCGAGGGCTGGGGACTATCCGCGTGATAGCTCGGTGCAGCTGTTGGCCGCCGTTCGCGGGGGTCCAAGCCCTACAAGCGGATGCGCAAAGGTAATCGCAGGCCCGGGCGATTGCGATGCCGATAGCGATGCGTGTATACGCCGGTACAGGTGATAGAAAAAGATAGCCTGGGCCTGTTCGTAGGTTGCAGCTACCGCCGTCTGACGATGGTTCACGCGCCCATGCAGGGATCCCGACGTCAGCTTAGCCCCGCGTAGTGGCTGGTGCTCCAAAGATCATTCCTCTCCCAAGACCATGCCCACACCATCGTGAGGACCAAAACATAGCGAAAGACGCCAAGATGCGCTCCAAGAAGGCTGCTGCAAAGCGCAAGGGTAACCAGAAATCTCTGCGCGAGAGAAGAGATGTGGATATCATGAACGTGAGGTCCCCAGCCTCTTCCGCCCATAGCATCCTCGTAGCCACTGGACTAACATCGAAGTCAGACGAATGACAGCAGCATTGTTTCCAAGAGAAGCGTCTCGAAACTCTATCTCAGCAATGAGCCTGACTTTTATGAACCTTTTGTACCAAAGTTCGTTCGACGCAGTACGTCCCTTCGATGCCACTTGCACGTGAGACATGGACTGATGCCCTCCAGATCCGTTGATCAATCGCGGGTATTGGCTACGAATGCATGCTATCGAACAAGTAGTCCGCCGGTTTCTGGAAGAAGAGAACGGAAAGCCCAAGATTGTGGTGAACCTAGGATGTGGATAGTGAGTAAGACATCCGTCGTCGCGACTCTAATCACAGTGAGAAGCTACTAAGTCCGGAAAGTGATCCCTTGCCTTTCCAGTTTTGGCACAGGTATCCGGCCCTCACGCAATCATCTACATTCGTCGACGTGGACTATCCACAATTGATGCAACGCAAGAGAGATACCATGCTCAGCAATGGTCTTCTTCGAGACGCCTTGCTCAGGACCAAACTCCGTCAGTCCGAACAGCCTGTATATCTTCGTAGCGACAGTTACATGGCTCTGGGATGCGATCTGAAAGACCTTGCCACACTCGAACGACTTCTGCGGGCCGAGTTCGATGTCCCCTCGTCTTCAATCCTGTTCGTCGCCGAAGTGTCTGTGACCTACATGCCGCTAAAGGACTCTGATGCTCTCATACAGTGGGCTAGTACTATCGAAGACGGTATGCAGATTCGTCAAACCCTGCTCATAAGCTATGCTAACATCTGTAGCTCGCTTCTGCATACTAGGTATTCATTCCTTCGTGTGTATGTACCAGTTCGCTTATACTGACTTCATACTGCATAGAACAGTACCTTCCGCAGGGCCCAGCTCATCCCTTTGCCAAGACAATGCTGTCTCACTTCGACAAGCTACAAGCATCAATCAACGCGGTTAAGTTGCATTCATCACTAAATCAGCAAGCCGCTCGTTTCCGTAATGCAGGATGGCCCACAATAACCATGGCCCGCAATCTGTGGGATCTATGGTCTGATGATGGCTTTACCCCTCCCACTCTTAGACGCGGGCTGAATGCAGTGGAGCCGTTTGACGAGTGGGAAGAGTTTGCGCTCTTTGGGGGTCATTACTTCCTACTCGTCGCTTCAAATGCAGAGCAAAGTAGACCGACCGAGTTAGCCTATGGCGAGGCAACAGCCACCACAGGGCGCAGGAAAGCCGCTGATGCGGCAAGTATTACCCTTCACACCTTGAAATTATCGGGTGGTGGTGCCGTGACGCCACGTCGTTTCACAGCAGCTTTCGCTTTCGACAAGGACTCGGTGGCCGTCCACGGAGGACAAGGGACGCAAGCCCGTCTCGCCGATATGGACACACTGACGCGGGAGGATCACAACGGGGATCGTACCATCCAGCCTTGTGGCTTGCTGCCTGCTGCCCGCGTATGCCATACTATCACATCAATGCGCAACGGTGAAGCGTTGTTGGTCGGAGGCCGCGGATCGCCTACCCAGGCTTATGCAGATTGCTGGCTCTTCAATCAGGGAGCTTGGGCCAGAGTGGATGACCTGGTGCCAGCCCGGTACCGCCATTCTGCTGTTGCTGTTGTATTAGGAAGTGGGGAATCACAGATCCATGGCGTCTTTGTCTTTGGTGGCAAAGCCAGTGACGGCACAGTACTCGATGCCGAACATTACTGTGCCTTATGGACTGCCAACGGCGGATGGAACAGCATTCCCGTCGACGGACCGCGCCCGTCTGCACGCTTCGCCGCCGCGATTTCCACGATCGATTTTGCTCAAGATTGGGGGTTACTGACGGGTGGAGCAGACGAGAGCGGCGTGGTCGTGCAAGACGCGGTGTGGGAGTGGTCCATTTCCGCCACACCAACACCCAGGCTCAACTTTAAGGACCGCGCCAATGACGTTCGCAGCAGCTTGGAGAACTCTGCATGCGCGCGTATAGGTGCCAGTCTAGTTCCCTGGAACGATTCTCTGCTGTTGATTGGAGGTGTTTCAAAGGAGCATATCCACTCTCTATCAGACGACTTCCTGCTCTTAACATGCAAGGACACGACCATCGAGGTGGAGCATCCCAGTATGCAGGCCTTGCCGCCAACGAAATGGCCTTTGCTAGTGGGTGTAGGGGCCGTTTCAACCTCTCGAGGCGAGATTGTGCTTGCAGGAGGAGGGGCGGTCTGTTTCTCAATGGGAAGTTACTGGAATGAAGACCCGATCAGCATCCTTCCTGACAATGCGCAAGGGGCCAAGTCGTGGCGTCGCGCTGTGCCGAGTCAGATCAGCGGCACAGCAGGCACAGAAGGCACAGCACAAGCGAACACGACTGAAACGGGACCCAAAGGTCGGCGACAGAAAGGTGGTGTGGAGAAGAGGCCAAAAACTACTGCACGTACTACCGAGATCGCAAGGGTACAGATTGAGTCGTCAGATGACTTTGCGAAGCTGGCGGCTACGTCAAAACCGGCCATCATCGAAGGCCTCGATATCGGCCCGTGCACAGACCTTTGGACACTTGACTATCTGAAAGAAAAGCTTGGTCCAGCGAGAGAACTTGTCATTCATGAATGCACATCAGATCGTATGACGTTCAAGGACAAAAACTTCTCATACGTCAAGAAATCAGTGACAGATTTCCTAGACGGTATCGCAGAAGGGTCTCACGAATATCTTCGTGCTATATCTTCAAGCCAGCCAAACAAGCTGCCCACCAAACTCGAAGATGACTTTCCGACTATATCCGATGACTTCCGCGTACCAGACGTATGCAATCTAGTCAAGGAAAATTACCACAGCTCGCCCCTTCGCATCTCAGGGCCCGTGACCTTATGGCTACACTACGATGTTCTATCCAACATTCTGTGTCAAGTCCGCGGTTCAAAAACGCTATTTCTCTACCCACCTACCGATGTTTCTCTATTAGGCTTCCCTCCTGGGGGCTCGTCTTCCAATATTGATGTCCTGACGTCCAAAGACCAAAGGCTTCGGCGCACTCATCCGCACATTGCTTCACTCAAGCCTGGTGATGTCTTATTCATACCACCCATGTGGAGTCATACAGCTACGCCGGAAGATGGCGTGAGCGTGGCAGTCAATGTGTTCTGGAAGGGCTTGGAGAAAGGATACGCGGCTGGGAAAGACGTATATGGTAACAGGGACCTGCAAGCATATGAGAATGGGAGAAGAGATGTAGAGAAGATCGTTAGAGCGTTCAAAGATCTGCCAGTCGACGTCTCCAAGTTCTATTTGGAGAGACTGGCTGGTGAGATTCTGGAGCGGTCGGATAAGCTAGGAGTGAAGAGGAAGGAAATCGTGAAAGAGGACCAACAGTAGATAGTGGATATGCTTTGACTCGAATACGATGTCCAAACCTAGTGCTCTTCATTCCACACTTCACGCCATCGTCCCGCATCCAGCTCCACAGGCCCATCAAATCGACCAAACCTTGGTGGCCCTGTGCCTGGTTCAGGCAGGCAAACCCACTCTCGTATACACCCAGGTACTTCATGCCTACTATGACTGACACACAGTAGGGCTTGATGTTCTTGCAATCCTGGAACCACAACCTCACCTTCCCATTTTACCGGTTTCAAGCCACTGTCGGAGGATACAAGCTCCATACCCTGACCACGACTAAGGAACAGAAGACACTTGTCACGAACGAGGTCATCCATGCCACTGAACGCCTCATCCAGGATAACGATGTCAGGATTTCGGATCGTGGCGCGCAAGAAGAGGAGTACACGTTGAGCGGAGAACGACACTTCTCCGAACAGAGTGTCAGATGCCCACTCCAGACTCGAACTTCTGTCACCACTGAAGCCAGGTCTGAGTTCAGCTTCAAACCATCTCAGGCAAGCTTCAACTCTCTTCCTCGCTTCATCATCTAGTCTTGGCTTTGTAATTGGTGTATCCGCCCATGCACTTTCCAACACCGTCCTCACTCTGAGTCTCTTCGGAAACAGAGCATGGACTTCCGGACTCGCATGGCCCATTCGTGACTGGATTTCGAATATGGTGATACCTGGGACACCGGGTTCGGGCAAACGCGAGCGTTGGAAAAGTTTAACTGGCGCCGAGTAGGTTTGTGGGTGGTCTGACGTTACGAGCGAGAGGAGCGTAGTTTTGCCGGAACCGTTGGCACCGCTAAATGTAGGAGTGCGAAGTCAATGAATGTCTCACACGTAATTCGTATATGGACACTTACAATATACCCCACCGTTGATTGCGATGAACGGTCCAGTGAAGCCCGGATTGAGATGAGCCGTTGACATCTTGTTGCCAATCTCCCAAGACGGAGTTCTGGCCATAGGCTATGCGAACTCCTTGCATTTCGACGATAGGTTCACCAATCTCGGGAATAGAATCGTCGGTACTTCGGTAGCCATCGCGGCTCAGTGTTGGCGCATCCGCTGGTCTTGCGGAGTTTTCTCGTCCAGACGAAAGTGGTCCCGGTTCGCCTGTTTCTACGCCGGCAGAACTCCACTTGTAGTCCTCAGCGCTTTCAGTTTGCCCATCTGTCTGTAAATGACCTAGTACCTCCTCCTTCAGCCCCATCTTTTCAACCTTTCCATCCTCTCCCGCGTACACGAGATGGGTAACCCATTCTGGTATTTCATCCTGCGGTCTCAGACTGAGAACAATGCGAGGTGCGTTAGCTTCAGCCAGCCGGTGCAAAACCTTGGAGATATGCCTTGTGACGATGGGATCAAGTCCAACTACCACTCTGTTAGCTTCTTCCGCTAAAACATTTCATAGGAGTGCATGTGTAGAATCAAAACTCACTAAATGGTGCATCCAAACAAAGCATCTCAGGCCTACTCAACAATGCTTTCGCGATTCTCGCCCGTCTACTTTGCCCATTGCTCAGCATGCTGACCGGCTTGTCAATAAACCTCTCCAACTCTAGATCACGCATAACCCGTGTCATATCCTCTTCATCCACACTCTTTGCCTTTAGTTCCTCTTCTCCAGGGTTCATCGTTACGATACCCGTCAGGTACCTTTGAACAGTGAAGTCCGTATCTTCTCTCAGAGACTCATACCGTGCCGATAGATAGGCGCCACCAAAAGCTTTCCGCTCAACGTCGAAGCCCACATACTCGATGGCTCGCTCTGGGAAGCGGAGGCGTGGTCTTTCGTCGGCGATGGCTGGTGTGAGAAGATAAGGGAAAGACCGCGCTGTTGGAGGGAAACAAAGCAATTGGCCGCGAAGTATTTGTAGAAATGTGGTGCGAATGTCGGATGATGGGCTCAAAATCGCCCAATGCTGATTTGGGGTTGAGAAAGAGGGTAGAGAAAGCCTCAGATCTGGGAACAGTGGTGGATTTGAAGACGCGTTGTCGTCCTTTGAAGAAGGGTGCTGGCGATAAAATGTGCCATTGGCGATTTTGACAATAGGCGGCGAGGAATAGAGTCTACGTGAAGCGTGGAGACGTGCACATTGCGTGGCTGCAAAGAACAGCGCTTGCGTTCTTCGCATGTCGAGAGATGGGTGTTGTTGCGCTCATCCTCGTGGATATTTGGTCTGGATTGGGTGGTGTTTGCCGCAGCGGAAAAGTGTCCGTGTCCGCGACAAAGTGGGAATGACGTCGCGCGCGGTCGCTGTCTGCCGAGGTACGTGATAGCTGAGGGTCCGCATCGTTATTGCGACGGATAGAGAGTTGGCTGGGTCGTTCTCGCGCGAGCAACCTGACATGATCTCTAGTCTGCAGCCTTCGAGGCCAAAGGTCCGCCGCTTTCCATCATAACTCCGTGACGCTTGCTGACATGATGTAGCCTCTCCAGCAGTCCTCAGCACCCTCATACGCGCACCAACAACGACGCGCCGGCCACGCGCCATCCCAGGCCCCTCAGCAGTCTACGACACAACACGCAAGCTCGCCTTTGAATCCTGCAAGACCGCGATCCCAAATCGAAGCCATGCCACCTTTCGGTCCCCCGCAAACACCAGCCACCTTCTTCACACCTGTGTACGACAGCGCAATACGGCATCCAGTCTTCTTCACCCAGAACCTGAAGAAGCCGCCGTTTCCTATACCACAAGTCGCTAGTCAGGGTTACAGTCCGGTTGCGAGTGGATACGTTATGGAGCAAAGGAGAGCAGAAGTGACAGGGAAGACGAAGTTATGATCTTGACGATACGAGCATCGACGGCGTTAAGAAGTATAAGCGGACCGTATTGGGTTATGTCAATTTAACGAGAAACATGCAAATGCTAGAGAAATAGCATGAGCTCTGTCAAGTCAGTCTTCTGGCTGGCCGGGCATATGAGATCGACTGAGACACTCGCTGATTTGATAGCTTTACCCATATATTGCTTGTCTCGTTCTAATAATGAATGCTACGCATTGTAGCGGGTATCTACAATGGCGAAAGCTGCACATATATCTCTATCTATTTCCGAAGTTTTCCTGTCGAGGCATGCGACCCATGTAAGATCCATAAGGAGCCATGTGCCTTTAATGAAATACAAGCTTCCTCCCCTTCATGTATCCGCACCTCTACAGGCTGTGCCGACCTACGAGATTGCTGGGCAACAGTGCCGTTGTGATGACGCAGCCCAACGTCACACCTCCAGCTAGGTACAGTACGCTATTGATATCTCTTCCAGCACCATCCCCCGCGTATAGATGCTGCGCAATGAGCGGGCTGACGATACCAAATAACCTGCCCCAGAAACTCGCAATACCGCAAGCTGTTCCTCGGATGGGTGCTGGGAAGGCCTCTGGTGTCCAGCCATATAGGACGGAATTGAACATGGACTGGAAGAAGTATTCCATGACGTTGAAGCCGATGTTCGAAGCCGCAGAGTTAACACTGCTGAACAGGAAGATCGAGATGCCCATCAATGCAGACGAGACTACCATTGTCCATTTGCGACCAACCCGCGATGCGCGGTAGGATAAAGTACCAAGCACAACACCGAGGACTCCAGGAAGGTAGATAAAGATGTAAGAGCGGTAGGTGTAGCGGAGAGAAAGGTCCAGAGCGCCGTTCTTCACAGCTAGAATTTGCGGAAGGTAGGTGCCTGCATTGTAGGTTAATGTATGTTCATCAAGCAAGACGGGCGTGAAACTCACCAGCAACGGTAAAACCCCAGTAATCGCATATGTACGTCAACCATACCAAAAGCGTCAACCTTGTCATCTGAAAGCTCGAGAATAGAAGCTTGAAGCGATCGCCTTCCAGTTTGAGTTTCTCGGTCCATGTAGATTTGAGCTGCTTGACACCACCTCCAAGCATAGGTCCGTGTCTTCGGTCTGAATCAAACTCGTGCTCTAGGGATACAAGATCCTCCAGAACGAGGTCGCATTTGGATCCGTTGTACTGAGCCATGGTATGCAGTACCTCGATTGCTTCGGCATCCTTGCCACGGTATATGAGGAACTTCGGCGATTCCTGGAAGGTGAAAATGACTGATCGTAAGACGAAGACGAGTATGGTGATCCCCCCTAGCGTGAATAGGAGATACCGCCATCCCATATTATTCTCTCTTGAACAACACTGTTCCCCTGTAGCAACAGCACCACATGCAGGCAGGGCTCGATCTCCTTCCGAAAAGTTTGGACTGCAAGACCAGTTTGGGATGAACCCATAGGCGAGTACGGAACAGATGACAACACCAATGGGCTGGAAGATCGATAATAGCGGAAGGAGGTAACGCTTGCTCTGTGGAGTGGCTTCCAGGGTAATTGTAGTGTCAATGGGAATGTTGCCTCCGACACCAAACCCAGTAAATGCTGTAAGAACCAAGATGGCGTTGTAAGTGCTCGGGGCGCCGATGCATGTTCCAAATATACATGCAATAAAGACTGTCAGATTGAAAGAGACCTTTCTCCCGATCAAGTCCACGAGGACTCCCCACACAAATGCCCCGGCTGTGAGTCCGATAGAAAAGGCAGTGGACAACTTTCCAGTCTGATCAGCACCAAAGCCAAGTTCCTGTTGGATTGGCGATAGAACGAGACCGAAGGCTTGTGCCCACATCAAATCGATCATGTAGCCGAACCCGCAAAGCGCCCAAATCGACCACTGGTACCGCCCCATCCCCATGAGATCAATCTCGCGGTTGATGAGCATGCATTTCTTCTCGTACAAAGAAATACCCTCATCTCCAATTTCTTCGGCCAAAGATCGTGAACGCTCCGGGTCGTCAGATCTATTGTGGTCAACTGGCTTCTCTTTGTCCTCGCCCAGCAACTTTCCATCTCTTGTAACATCCCCTTCGGTGGGAGTCGTGCTATCGTTTGTGGAATAATTGCGAGAAGAAGATGCGATAACCTCGCCAGCGCTCAAAAGCGCGTCGCTCTCGCCTGCCCCAGAGCTTCGACGCGACATTGTTGAACTGTTTTCTGAATATTCGAAAGATGACAGAATGTTGAGAGATCCTTCTTCGGCGCTTACCCCTCTTGTGTGTGTGCCATGGGCTTCACATGGGCGGCACCACACTCCGCCGCGGGGGGAGGCTAGGATACGTTGGGCAGTAGTTAAGCGACGCCTGATAAGCCATTTGATTGCGCCGGTGTAGCTTCGGTGTCAGAAGTGTCAAAGGAGCAGTATCCATGGCGTTGCGTGCAGACGTTGAGTGCCGGGTGCTAACGTTATGGGGTGTAGACAAGGCAGATCTTGCTGTTCAACACACCTCGTCGTTAGGAAAGGTGCAACGGACACGACTGCCGCTCGGTATCAATCCCGCGGAACATTGAATTTTTCAGAGCAAAAACGTTTCACAATTTAGGCCATTCCACATAACCGGAGCATCTTCCGAAAAAGGCCGTTTCCGTCCTGGAGCAACAACAATGGTGAAGGCTTACGGTTCAGGCCGCGAAGTCGTGCGATGCGCGAAGGGATAACCCTGGTAACAAATTGATGTAAGTAATCGTGAAGATACTTGCGCCTATATGTTCAATGTTTTCTCTCCATGACTTTGTTATTCACGCAGCCCATTGTTGTAAGCATACCTAGGTCAGCTCCTATGCGGTTACGTGATTGATGCACGTTGATAGCGTGGCGAGTCGGCAGCATGGGATTTCAAAAACGCATGCTCTTGTATGCTCCAAATTGTGTCAACAACGGCATCGCTCGAATAACGTGCAACCATAGATAGCCATGCGCGAAGATGTGAGTCCCCATGACCCAGGTTGGGTGGGGATGTGCAGGCTGACGCCTCGGCTTCCCCAGTTGGGCGAAGCAACACATGCAGCAGATCGCGATCCGAAATTCGACTCGAATGGACCCAAGTCTGAACGGTGAACGAAAGTGGGTAAAGTTGGAAGGGAGGAGATCCAGCTTGGAAGCAGACGTTGAGGCAAGCGCAGGTGTCTTCGTCGAGGCCGCCTCCAGCTGAAAGGGTCTGACCCCACTTTTCCGTGCAGCCGCCAAGGCCGGCGCGGTGGATCTGTGCGCCGAGATACTGGAACTTTTTTTGCAAGGCATGTCCAAAGACCAGAACTGCATATAACAATTTTCGCCTCATCTGTTTGCAATGGCTCCCCGAAGAAAGCGCCAGCGTCTCTCGCTCGATGGAGCAGAAGCCGTCACAGCAACCGCCGACGCCGAGCAACCGTCCAATTCTTCTGCAGCGGCGCCCAAAGAAGCTGCGCGCCGACAACTCTTCGTTCGCGGACTTGCGCCCACCGTTACGACCGAAGACCTCACCGAATACTTCTCCGAATCGTACCCAATCAAGAACGCGCTCGTTGTTCTGGACAAGGAAACTAGGGAATCGAAAAGCTACGGGTTCGTGACATTCGCCGACGTCGAAGATGCGCAAAGGGCGAAGGAGGAGCTGAACAATACGGAGATCAAGGGCAAGAAGATCAAGGTCGACTTTGCCGAGGCGAGACAACGTGAAGGCGAAGAGAAGAGGCCGAGGGCTGGTGACAGGGCCAAGGCCGAGCGAGAGCAGCAGATCAAGGATGCGCAGACGCCAAAGCTGATCATTCGCAATCTGCCATGGACCATCAAGACGCCGGACGATCTACAGAAGTTGTTCAGAAGCTATGGCAAAGTCAACTTTGTCAATCTGCCAAAGAAGCCTAATGGTGAATTGAGAGGTTTTGGTTTCGTCTCGCTACGTGGGAAGAAGAACGCGGAGAGGGCGATACAAGAGCTGAACGGCAAGGAGGTCGATGAAAGACCCATCGCTGTGGATTGGGCTGTGGACCGGGAAACATGGCAGAGCTTGCAAAAGACTGAACAGGTGGGAGATGATGCCAAACCAAACGGAGAAGACGAAGATGAAGATATGGAAGACGCCGAGGATTCTGCAGCCAGCTCCGATGATGATGACGACGACGACGACGAAGCGGACGACAGCGACGACGACGAAGAAGATGATAGCAACACCGACTACGAGGACATATCAGAGGATGACGAAGATGGCGGAGTGGAGCTTGAACAAGAGGACAACCGACCGAAGCGTGAGGAATACACTCTCTTCGTGCGCAATGTGCCTTTCACAGTTGACGACGAACGTCTCAAAGAGCACTTCCAGCAATTCGGTGGCATCCGATTTGCCCGTGTCGTGGTCGACCGCGAGACCGAACGACCAAAGGGCACAGGATTCGTCTCATTCTTTGCAGAAGAAGACATGATCAACTGCCTCAAAGGCGTCCCACGTGTCAAGCTACAAAAGAAGAACCTCGACAAGAAGGACGGCTCCACCATCACTGTCACACACTCTGTGCTCGAAGACGAAGACGCTGACCCAACAGGCAAATACACCATCGACGGTCGCATCCTACAAATCTCACGCGCAGTTGACAAGAATGAAGCTACGCGTCTGACAGCGGAAGGCGCTGCTTCGCGCTTTAGCCGAGACAAAGACAAGCGTCGCCTCTACCTTCTCTCCGAAGGAACTATTGCCTCCAACTCGCCACTCTACCAGAAGCTCTCGCCCTCTGAGATCAAGATGCGCGAAGAGAGCGCAACCATGCGCCGTAAGCAAATCCAGGAGAACCCATCGCTCCACTTATCTCTCACTCGTCTCTCCATACGCAACATTCCTCGCAGCATCACATCCAAGGATCTGAAGCAGCTTGCTCGTAGCGCCGTCGTTGGTTTTGCTGCTGATGTCAAGGAGGGTAAGAGACAAAAGCTCAATAAAGAGGAAGTCATTCGTGGCGGTCAAGAAATGCTCGTCGCAGAGAAGATGCGTAAGAAGAAGGGCAAGGGTATTGTCAAGCAAGCCAAGGTTGTCTTTGAGACGCCCGCTGGTAGTAAAGTTTCTGAGGACACTGGTGCTGGAAGAAGCAGAGGATATGGATTCATCGAGTACTACACACACCGAAATGCGCTCATGGGTCTTCGATGGCTCAATGGCCACGCTGTAGACTATAAGATCAAGTCTGGCCCCACGCCAAAGAGCAAGAAGGCCGCTCAAGAAGCACTCGCAGACAAGCGGAAACGTCTCATTGTCGAGTTTGCTATCGAAAACGCCAATGTTGTCAACAGGCGCTCAGACCGCGAGGAGAAGGCCAGAGAGCCACCAAAGTCGAAGGCTGATGGCGAGGCTGACAGCGATGATGCCGAGCCGGGTGCGACCAAAGGCAAGAAGCGCAAGCGTGATTCTAGCGCTGCGGGTCAGAAGGCGGGCAAGGGTAAGGACAGCGGCAAGGGAAAGCAGGGTACGGGTGCTGCGGAAGCTGGCGCGGATGCCGGTGCAGTAAAGGGCAAAGACGGAAAGCTGGCGCAGCGGACAAGAATTATCGCGAAAAAGAGACAAGCGCGGAAGGCGAGAAAGGCTGGTAAAGCGTGATCGTACTAAACCTCCTTCCAAGGTTGTTGGCATTAGCGACGGCGTCAATGTTAATGGAAAAGTAATTGTTGTTCCAAGTTCTCTATGAATGTATTCTCTACCGCCCGCCTCCGCGATATTCTCGAACTCTTCGTGATCCTGAACGTGACGCACAACCACGGTGTCCAGCTTAGCCATCTATCCCCTAGCAAAGTCTGAACGGTGAGTTCCCCGTCACTTCACAACGCGTACCCGCTTTTGCTTGCCGCAGTCGCATCTCTTCCCGCGGAGCCGCTGCTTCGACAGCTCGATTCGAACTCTCCGGTTTTGTCTCAAATCATGTTGGGGTAGCCCATCTAGGCCGTCTCGGTGCAGGTCTTACAGGGAAGATTATCGGTACGACTGAGGTGGGCCCAAGAACAGAAGAGGCGTGACCCGGACTCGAGACGATGTATGTCGTGATAGACGATGATATACCTTGGTGACGCATAGCACAGTATTTTTGGATGTTGTATTGCTCCGTTCGTACTCCTCATCCACGTAAATAGTGGGCTCAAACGACGCATCCAGCAAAACAACCGTGCCGGTATTGGACGGAATGAACGGAACGTGTCTGACTGACTGAAGCTTTTTTTTCCTCGGCAGAGTGCGCCGAAATTGAAACATCGGGTTTCACTTCTCGTGTGGATCTTGAAATGTGGTGTCAGTGTCGACTTCGACGAAACGAAAAAACGACGGGGAGCCTGCATGTACTGACTCCACTACAGTACCCGGAAGGGGACGCCGCGCATGAAGGTGCGCCCAGGCGGGTTCACCCGCCCGCAGTGAAAGCTCCGTAGGTACACCACGGCTCGTAAACACTGTAGACGCACAGGGACGTGGTGATGTTGGTTCAATGCTCTCTTCGAGTCAGTGAACTCAAACAAAGTTGATCGCACTGCTCAGTCTGAACGCGCAATCGCGCAGTGGAATGCGATCGATCGCGATCGATCGTGTGTACCGAGGACACTCAATCGTATCTTTGAGTCAGCTGTTTCTCGTCTTGTAATCGACCTTTGCTAGTGTGTATCGTCAAAGGACAAACACATAACAACGTTCTTTACACCATGTTTCGCTCCACTACCAGCCTAGCAACTAATCGCTAGTATATTGGGTCATTGTACATATCCAATGTGAGTAGAGAACACGGTCGACTCAAGAACGAGCTGTCAGCACAGCCCCTTGAACATGTTTCCCTTGGCTTCAGTCCAGACCGGTTTTGCGGGACCAGTGATGGGCTCGGTAGACTTAGTCACTCATCTAGAGTAAGCGCTCATTCTTTTGGGCGTACTCCCAAGATCATTCAACCCATGGTTTTATGTCGGGTTACTCAAACGTGTGCCATATGGCGTGCTGAGTTCGCTTATCTATACCATTTGGGGCACATGAGCGCCCAGAATAGTCTCCTTTTGGGGTCACAGCAAAGTCGCCGAAAGGTTGGGCGTACTGCATTACTGCATGCTCGAACTCTTCGCGGGCAGCACGCGACGGATCTTCCCGATGTTCTTCTCTGTGGTTTGTATACAGATGTGACACGAGGATGCATCGTCCTGCAAGCCAGAGGTAAGAATACCTTGGTGCGATGTTCAATGCCGGTTGGAACACCGGTTCCGCGCGAGACCTGCTGTGCTGTTGGCATGCCATAGCCCTTCGAACGAATACTTCTTCACGTGTCAAGTCAACGTTAGATCTTGCACAGATGTATTCTCCAGTGACGATAGATGCATCGCTCTACTAACGGGGTGTCCATGATACTGCTCGATTGACAAGCGTGGACCAAAAGGGTTTACGCCGTTGTCCGGGTAATACGAAACGTCCACTCAACGATCGTGCCGCTCACTCGTGTCCAGACGTGCTCATGGCCTGGGTTTCCAAAGTTGTAACAGCCAGTGTGTTTCGACTATGTGGGGGTACAACGGGGAAGCGGCTAGTGATTGCGAAGCGCACGGGAAAAGAAGCATGCTTACAGCGGATAGGAAAAATTTGAGATCGTGTGAACGAGGGGTTAACATGGTCTTCGCCGTGGTATGAGTACCCTGCAATAGGGAAGTTGACTCCCGCACCCGCGTGCAGTTTCCGTATACTACATCATGCAGTGGTGAGCGAGATCCAGTTCATCTGTTTTGGTTGGCGGGCGATTTCCGTGTACCAAGATCCTTCCCACTCATGCGAGACCTGCAGGCAGCTGTATTAAGACTATTTACTCGACTCGAGTACTCCATATTAGTCGGGGAAGCGGATACAGCGAGGGTGTGCTGAATCGTTTAGGGTTTGCTTCACATATCCCATCTCAGTGGCAACTTGACTGAGAGAGTAAGTGGACGTCCGCAAGCGCTGATACCTCAAGATGTATCATGCATGTCAAGGCAGATGTGTATTGGCTTGGGAGACATTTCCAGTAGTGGAGACGACCGTGCGTCGAGCTGCAGCTGAGTTTTGCGGGAGTTCTGTCAGGAGGGTAGATCTTGTTTTCTCTCGAATGTATCCCGAGTAGGATATGGTGAGTTTAAGCATGCAGTATATCTGAAGGGAAGGGTCCAGCTAGAACAGTTTTCTCTTCTTAGACCAGATTGCGGCGAACTAGCGAGAGATGTTGTCAATGCCCATAGCGAATGTTGAAGTAGTCTTTTCCTGGGCACTAGGACCAAGTTCCGGGCTCGTGGAACGGCATCCATGACCAGGGTCTGCTGCGGATGCAGTTTGCATCTGTGCGGCCCAGGATAGTAATACCTAGGTACAGATCGACTCAGGCTCACGTAGCTGCAGCACCACTCCTATGCCTCTTTGTTACGGATACGAAGTGTGCATGCTTCTACCACACTAATGCAATGTAACAAAGGACTTGTGACGACAAGACTGTATGTGCGCGCTGAGCGGAAAAGCTTGGACAAGGTCTCCAGTGTGGCGAGCAATCTATCGGCTTGAGAGGGCTTGCGCTCTTTGTGTGTGACTTCACCGCGACAAGGTATTGTTCTAGTCCATGAGATTACTCAAAGGAAATGGCGGCTAAGGGGCCGTGGGGAAAAGCGTATGGCGACCGCGGTGACGTGGGTTGGTGGCGTATAAAGGTTCGTGACATTCTCCTTGGAAGTGCAACCCCCAGATTTCCCCAGATTTTCTCCACGGTCTTCTGGAATTCCATACACCAAAAGCTTGTTCAAGATCCAGCTGAAATCTGTGTTCACAATCGCCGATCTCGAGTACGAGACAGACACGCACACGTGCTTTGGATGTAAGTTCGCCAGGTTCCACCACGGCCAGCGAGCTGACAATGGCTGTAGTTCCCGAACACAGGATCGGACAGATAGTCATACCATCAGCGCCTTTGCGATGTGCTTCTACGAAAAGATCCAGTTTCCGTGTGGCCATGACGAGTACCGGCTCATGCAGCACTGCCATTTCGCACGCAACGATCCCGGCCACCAATGTTTTGGCGCTTGGAACGTCAGAAGAACATGGGATCAACGGGAAACAAACTGCACCAACTGTGTCAGACAGAGCCAGTACGATCCGGCAGTACATACGTCCCAGTCAGCGTACACCGTCGCCAGCGGAAGATAATTGGTTCTGTGGATGCAATGCTAGCAATAGCCACCACCTGGTTTCGACCAATCGTCTTCTGTCGGCTCGAGAAAGCAGGTGCGCCTCTACAACATAGTGAAGAGTCGTATCGGATATCGAAGGGAGGCTTTCATCATACTTGTCGGGGTTTCGTGATTGTTTGCACGCCTGGGCGGTTGTTCAATTGCTTTTGCGGCGAAGCCTAACGCTTGTAACGTCCTAAGTGGAAAGTTTGGGCGCCATATTCTGTGGCTACGATCTTCACTGTACACTATTAGTATTGTACCTACATATCACCAAATATATGGTAACAGGCATATAGCCTCGTATGAACGGCGAGTGTCTCCAATGGGCAATTGAGACGTGGTGCTCGTAATTACTGACGGCTCTCCCGAGAGGCGCATTGATGCCGGTATCGAAACTGCGAACATCAACTTCACGTATGTAGGGCCAGATCAGGACACGTGTGGCGTCACAGATTGGTTGGTCGTGGCGTGTGCAATGAGGAAGTTCGTGACGACCTCGGGAAATGACATGAGGCTCGTGCTACTAACCTAGCGCGGCATGGGCGTGGAGCCCCACCTGGGCACCTGCCCAGCAGACAGGCCAGCATCGTGACTTCCCATCCGACATTCTGCATCATTTACACCGATATCTTGAACTCCACCATGTCAGACTCTACAGAGCAGCCGAAGAAGGAGAAGTTTGCGCCAAAGCAACCCGTCGCACTGAACCCGCCAAAGGATGATGTCATTGAACGCGATTACCTTGCAAAGTGTGATGGTACGGCTTTGCAGCGACTGGCTGGTATTTGAGTGGCCAGGCACTGACCACCAGCAGGCACAAACGAGGGTCTACCCACTCTTGTCGCAATCAAGGTAACGATAGCTGCTTTTCTTCAATGGTGTTCTCGTGCAAGCGCAGAAGAAGTTGACCATCATCAGGGTGACGTGTTCGACGTGAGCGGCAAGGAGACGTACGCACCTGGGAAGGGTTATCACGGTTTGTCGCCTGAGATGCAGCATCAAGTCGTACCATAAACGACTAACCTATCGTCCTAGTGTTTGCGGGGAAAGAGCCCAACCGTGCCCTCGGTCTGTCTTCTCTCAAGCCTGAAGACTGCATATCGGACTACTCCGGACTTTCCGATAAGGAAAAACAGGTTCTTAATGATTGGCATACGTTCTTCAGCAAGCGTTACAACATAGTCGGACGGTTACCTTCTGATGGCGCCAACCTCTAGACGGTCCATGTCTCCAATCGTCGACTAGCACACGCCATACTATCGGCCCGTGTAATGTAGCAGTTCCAAGCAACTAGGTTCTACTGAGTCAACTGAAAGGCGCTTTGAGTGTCACATGCACTGCACTGAAAATGTGGAGAAGCGATTCGATGAGACCACAAAGCTTGGAAGCAAACCGAATCCATCACATTCAGTCTGTGTCCGAGGAAGTGTACTATTTATGGTCGTACGATGATATCAAATCATCCTCAAGTTCTGAGATGGTAGGCACCGTGTCGAGCATGGTGAAGTATGATGGCTGATAGTGTGCCTGCTAAGCTGCCCAGATACCCAACAAAACGACACAGCCAGAGATCGTTCTGCCTATGAACCCACCTGACTTCTACCCGTGTCACAACCCCTATTGAGTTATGACGGTATCATCGCTAAGATGGCGACTTCACCATCAAAGCAATTAGAGAGTGAACGACCTCTGCAGCGGCCAATACGGTGGTTTCACCCGGGTTATCGTAAATGGGAGCCACTTCCACTGCGACGAGTACATTCAGTCAGCTTCTAGTGCTCTTACTAATAAGTCAACGGGGCTCGGAAAATACGTACCAACATCTGCCCCAACGACGTCTAGTCCTTCGAGACCGTCCAGAATAGACAAAAGCTCTCGTGTGCTCCAGCCACCGACTTCGGCTGTTCCCGTGGCTATTTTTACATGTCAGTCACTGTGTAACGAAATATCTGTGTGTTTTGTTTGACGACTTACCAGGTGCGAATGCCGGATCGAGTACGTCTATATCGACACTGATGTAGACCTTCGTTCCAGCGACGCGAGATTTGAGCTTGTCGATCATTCCAGCTACACCCAATCGATCGATTGCCCGAGCCTTGACCATCTCAAAACCACATCGAAGGTCGTTGCGCACATCACCTTTCGGTCGTACCACAGGAGCTCGGATGCCCGCGTGTATACTAGTATTTCGGATCAAGCCTTCCTCATGAGCGATGTGCAAGAATGTTCCATGGTTGACACCACTGTCGTGCTGTCTCAGCGATGTCCAGGGTAAGTTCTCATAGCTAGACTCACGCATAATGGGAGATACCTCCTCCTTTACTATGTCAGTTTCTAAACAGATCGGTGAACACTTCGGCTTACCTAGTACTTCTGGGTCCCAGGTGTCTACGCAGCTGTCAGTGAAGCTCAGCAAAACGTGCCGCGAGCCTACCGATGTGACTGTCGAAGTGTATTACGCTCACCGGCCCCCAATGATGATGAGTCGATCGAAGAGCCGACAAAGTTGTGGTATGATCGCCACCTAGCGTCACGATCTTTGGTGTCGTGCGCTCGCTCGAATTGGTCGCTCTTGAGGACACGATCTTGGCGATGGTCGTCAGACATTTGAACCAGTCATTGCGTACGTTCACCGACCTTGTGCGCCTTATCAAGCTGCTTCAGGGCCGCAGTGTTATCCTTCCAGGTACGTTAGTTATAGTCTTCCTTGGTCGTTCGTTCAATGTTTTACCAGAAATGTTAAAGGAGCGTCGCCGCAGTCGATAACTCTTGCCCAATCCGCGAAGACGTTCTCGCCTGAGCCCCGTTAGTCAGTACGTTCCAAAGTCGCTTTGTCAATGATTAGTGCCTCTCGATGCAATGTTGGCTTCATACAGGAGCGAACGGAGCAGCATCATCAAGACAACAAGAAACTGCAACCAAGATTAGGGTACACAGGACAAATTCTAGCGCACGAATGGACGCCTCGAGAACACAACTTGTCAAGATGGCGTGGTGTAACATGTGCCGCTCGTTGTTGCTTTAGTTTGAACAACGCTCTAAGTCCGTGCTTGCGGGATGAACACCCATACGGGCACCCTCATCATAATGCGACATACCTGTATATATTGACCAAGCAGCGTCTGGCGATATCCGACTGGAGCCCTGCCTGATGCCACTCGGGCCGAAGCGCGCCCCAGGCCGTGCCGTAACGCCCTGCCCGTTGTTAACCTTGACTGTTGCGATGCACCCGACTCCGATGCGGAGTCTCGCGCACACAATGGACATAACCTACAGTGTCAAACGGCGCACCAAGAATTGCGATGTCGAATGGTTCCACATCCTGGCCTTCTGCTGCTAAACAGTGCACATACGGCAAATTGGCGTATGTCATCAGCCCTGCAAACTTTGCTTGAGTGATGTCCATTTCAAGGTTGCCATGAGCAATAATCTGCTGCGACGAATAGCCAGAAATTGGCGGGAAGGTAACATCGCGAGCGCTTGCGAAGAGCTTGAGAGAAGATGCTAGTAGCAACAACGATTTAGGTGCCATCGTGAACAAGAGAGATCGAATTACAAGCAAAAGGCGAGCAAAGCTATCTCAATTGACAATATACCCAAGTGACGTGCTTATCTCCATTGCGAGCCGGTGGTGATGCCCGCGACCAGTCGCACTAAGCCCTGAATGGCAGGTACAGCCGATCGTACCCCTCGATCCGCCTGCAACGGCTGTCAGTCTGTTACCACTTCCAGAACACGCCGACGGCGCGTAAGACCTCGCAAACCAGACTCTGCTTATCTTCGGAAGTCATTCGAAGACCTCCCGTCTGTCTTCATTCTCGGGCCCGTCTCTAGTAGAATAGGCATGATGTCATACAAGCATTGCCTCCAGCTCATCCTCCGAGGGTCGCCCTCCATCTGTGCGTTCGTGGTCCGGTATCTTTTCCAGGCGCTATTGTTACTGCGCCTTCACTACCAGGTCCTTCTCGACTATTTCTTCCCACAGGGTGACATGCATTCCAATGCATTTTCCCTGAACAGCTTTAGATCTCAGCTGTTCTGCGGTGAACTTTATGGGCGCAACGATGTCGTCTGCGCCGAATTCAAACTCGGATTGTTGCAAAGCGCCAATGCGCTAATGGTGTGGACACTTCTGCTCTTCGCTGACTTCGTTGGCATTAGCTTTGCTGTGTGCTGAGTCTGACGTCTATGGATGACATGTCGAGACAGCGACTAGCTAATCATAGCGGTAACTTCACACTCATACAACAGTTCCTTCTTCGCCAGACTTGCAACACCGACAACCGTATCAGGCGGTCTATGCCCATCCGCCTCATTGTCCATGAATTCGATCCAAATATCTCCCCAGCCACGATCTACTACATCCTTTCGATCCTGCTCTGGGTTGCCGGTCTCCTTGACGATGTAGTGTCGAACATGCACCTGATTACATCAAAGTTAGTGGCATGGCCAACACTGCCTTGAAAGTGCTCAATCAAGGTTCAAAGCGTACAATGTCTCGTGGTGTGGCTCCAGCCGCAGCCAAGCACTTGTGAATACTATCATAAGCGCCCTTCGCTTGCTCTTTAATATCGGATGGGATGGTATGGTCTTTTCGAAGGCCCGTTTGACCAGCAAGGGTGATCAATTTGGATGACGGCACTATTGGAGTGATGCAGACTTGGTTATATGTCGGTGGAGGTTCCGGTACGTTTTCCGGGTTGAACGCATGGGGCTTGTTAGATGACATAACTGAAATCAAGACAATCGAAGCAGTGTCACTTGTTGGTGTTTCCTATATGTTCTTTGCTCGAGTATCACGATAGTATCTCGGCGTGAGGGGCATTCTTGCGTGCACTTGCCGCACCTAGTGGTCAAACATGTGGGCCTCACTGGCGTTGAAGCATGGGCCTTGATGACATCACGGACTTTCGTCACGCGAATCCACCACGCAAACAGGACGCGACAAACCTCACACCACTGCACACAGCCCGGCTGGCTGATTAAACATTACCACATCATTGGGTCAAAGTGGATTACTTCATTCACGGATGAAATTCCACCTGCAACCGGGCGAATGAGATGCGGTCCAACACGCGCCTGCCTCCGTTCGAATGCGGGGAAAGCTCCAGCAGCGAGAGCGTTAAAGCCGTCTGCTCGTGACAGTCCGCGCAACCTCAGCTCACACCCCTTTGTTTGACAGATACTGCTCGTATAATGGCGTCTGGCTGGTTCAGCTCATCGTCGAGCGACCCAACGCGTCCTCCGGACGTTCGCGTTCAAGTCGCTGAACAGAAACCTCACGACTTTTACCTGCAGCCCGGCTCAGGCAGCAGCCCAAGACCCGCCACCAACCGCTCACCGGCCTCAGTACCTGCGGCGTATGTGGATACGACTCACTCCAAGGTCCATGTCCACAATGCTTCACTTTTCGATGTAGGCATCCTGAAAGACACCCTTGTCCCATCACTCACCCTGCATTCTGGCTTGGCCATCATTGCGTACGGAGCTGCGCGATACACAAACCGCGTCGAAGCCAAGGACTGGCTTTGGCCCAGTGGTCAGGTCGTGAACGCCTGGTGGTCTGCCGTTGGACGTCGTCTTGCTCAAGGCTACACCGTCTCGCAAGCATTCAGTCGTCTATCATGGCACGAGCGTGTTATTCTCACGGGTGTTACACTATGGGGAGGGCGTCTCTTTTATCGCATCGTTAACCGTTCCATTCAACGAGGCGAGGACGACCCACGATATGCCGAAGTCAAGAAGGAGGAGGGCTTCTGGAACAGCGCGTTGTTCAAAGTCTTCATACCCGAGGCCTTCTTCCAGATGCTCATCAGTCTGCCGTTTACCGCACCATTCCGACACGAAGGTGCTGTCATGACAGGCTACCACCCCTTTGTTCAGATGTTTGCTGTCGGCTTGTTCTCTTCAGGATTGGCGATGGAGACACTTGCAGACTACCAGCTAGACCAGTTCAAGGCCGAAGGCAACAAGGGCATCATGCGCGAAGGAGTATGGAGCATCGTCCGTAATCCCAAGTATGTATCCCTGCTCCACATTCTATGTCACTCGCTAACGTCGTGTAGTTACCTTGGCGACGCCCTCGTACACATCTCCTTCATCGTTATGCTTTACGGCTCAGACATGCTCGCCCCAATCGAACTCCTAGGCCCCGCCGCGAATTACGCCTTCCTCCGCTTCTTTGGCGGCGACGCCGAGAAAGAGAAACACCAAGAACGCCGATACTCCGCATCTCACCCCGAGAAGTTCCGCGAATTGGAGAAGTTCAGAGCGGATAAGAATGCTTTCTGGCCGAGCGTCGATGAGCTAAGCAACAAATGGTTGTGGACTGTTTTGGGTGTTGGAGGCTTGGGTATCGCAGTCGAGCAAACGCTTCGGGCGCTGCATTAGGTCTTGCCGTCTAAGGTCAATGAGGTTTGCCCACGAGGCTGTCTACGCGGTAGGCGCTTAGCGTTGTCGATTAAGTTTGTACGATATAATTAGCTTAGATAGTCAATTTCTTTACTGGTATTTCAACTTGGCAGTCCCTACGCACGTTAGCAACAGTTGTCTATCACAAACATTGTAATGTTTTTCCAACAAATCTGTCGTTCCGTGACAGATGCGTCAACAAGCCCAGGGTTTGCCCATCACAACGAATGGCCGGTTTACCAAACGACACGAGTACATTGACAAACCTGACCGTAGTCTTGGTTGTATAACTGCCATTTTGTGGCTTCTTGTTATAACACTAGTGTCAATGTCCTACCGTCACCGTTTGAGCTTTGCTACACAACGACCGTAAGCGATGAACGACAGAGATCTCATAGGCGTCATCTTCGTAGCCGTGTTCGTCCCCCTGATCATAGCTATCGCCGCTCTATGTCCTCGTTGCCACTGCCATCTCCAACGTGGTAGAAAGCGTCCAAGGCGAACGCGATCATATACAGTGGATACGGACTGGACTGATTACACATCCCCGCCATTCGAGCCAGCGTATTACAGTCCACGTTTCAAACAACCGTCCAAGACCCAATCTAAGAGATATGCGTCATACAGATACGACTTCGGCCTTCCTAGATACGCTCCAAGAGTACACGCTGCCAATACAAGATACGTACCTTCTAGAAGACGAACAAGAGAACAGCATCTGCTGAACGAGATGTACGATGGCTTGGATATCACGCCAGAGATGATCAGACCGCAGGAAACGGAGATGGTGGAGCAGGCGCGAAGGCCAAGCAGGCCGATGAGATCTTTCACTTTCTAGTGTGGGTGGCATGGAATTATGTTCCAGGCTTGCAACACACTGCATCGAAC